GTCCTGATTTTATCTACCTCAGTACTGTAGAAAGTGTAGAACACAATGATAGGGTGAGACAACCTGAAAAAAAAATGTACACTTTAAGTAAGCCTAATTGAGAGGGACTGAAGATACTAATGTCTTCTTTTTTATTTCTCCGTACAGTTGACTGAGGAAAACGTTTACAGAGGAGTACTTTGATTCATTTCACCGCCTACTCTCAGCGTAACGTTTTATAGGTTCGGTCCGTTTCCAAGAATTTCTCGCTCAGGTTCGATGACAATTTATAACCCTAGAATTCAATGTACAAAAGCGGGTAGAGGTGAAACAAAAAGTGAAAATTGAGTTCAGGTATAGGTAAAAATGTCCAGTCGATGGAAATACAAACGATCAAATGTGGACAGATGGGATCGTTATTTCTGAAAATAACATCGTTTTACAATTGTATATAATTCCACATTCAGAATCGGTAATAGCCTGAAATCTGTCCGGTGAATCACGTTGATGTAATTAATCAGACGAGTCCATTTATGGTCTGATGAGCCCACTAATGCGGATAAAACGATATTCACAATGAGTATTGATTCAATGATTCTGAATTTCAAAGGTGAATTCGTCGTGTACATAACGAGCGAGCAGTGAACCAAAAAGATAGGAAACACTGGACAGCTGTTTCGACCTGTTTGGGTCTCATCAGCAGTGCGGGACCTCATGGGCAAGCATGCTACCTACTCGGTCACCGGGCAAATGATTAGACCGTTTTTCATTTTCCATTTATACGCTAAGGCACAACCCATCTTTGCGAGCTTGTTGCAGGCGACAGACCCTCCTCATCTCAGGGTCATTAATTTGTGAATCACTCCCTGAACGTTCAACCAGACCGTGACTGATTGGTCCATTGGTCATACGCAGTCATCTGTGAGACTGGATGATAGCAATATGAAAATCTGTTATACGCAACGAGGAGAATAATTGCACTCCAAGTTGTTTGTCCCCGTGCAATGTGACTGACGCACAGGTGCAGGGAACTCCTAAGGACTCTTGGCTGGAGATGCACCCTGTCCGCAATCGCATACTGGTTTGTGTGTGTGTGTGTGTGTGTGTGTGTGTGTGTATAGGAGGAGATACCAAGTTTGCAATATATATTGCGATCTGATTCGCCTGTCATTTTGCTCCACTATATGTAAAATCCCTATCGTCAGCTGATGTGAATTCGTCTCCACTGGAGCAAGGTTCGGGTGTGAATACAAATGAAATCGTTCCGCAACACATTATGTCATGTTTATGACCGCCATTGATATATTAGAACTGGGGAAATTGTATTCTGATTGATGGTGGTCTCGTTAATCACCAATATATATTAAGAACGTCCATTTTGGTATTCTTCAAATGTGAGTGAGTCAAGATATTGGACTGTCCCTATCCATTTTTGTTTGCCCAACATCCAGTATGCGACTAGCTTTATTTGACGGCAAGATTGTTTGTATTCAGGTCCTAGTAGCCACTAGTGAATGTGCGAGCAGTTGGCGCTTGATAGGTTGCCACGACAAGCGATGTTTGCCGAGTCAGGTCGCGGTTGTAAAAAGGTTAAGGACAGTCAAACGAGGACCTCGCATGCGGGTATGAAAACCTTAACCAGGACACTGGATTACATAGGTCCCGTTAGGCTCCCTGAGTGGGGACCCCGAGAACATGTTAAGTTGTGATTAGAGATACCGAGCAATATGGTTGGGTGTCGCAAACAGTGGTATCCATGGATCTACTTATTATTCGTGCAACATCAGTTTATATGAATTCAATATCTTCACTTAGACTCTGCTGTTAACATTCCAATGTTTGTCCTACTCTTTAATTCAAATTTGCAGCCTAAAGACAGCAACCAAAACCGACGCACGAAAGTGCATGCTTAGTGGTTGTAGAAACTGATACTGAACCTTGTGAATGTTATTCTTTAGAACACTTTAGAATAACTTCGAATTTCTCTTAAAACTGTGTCACCGTCATACAATTTGTGGTATGTTTCGATAAACTTCGGTACGCTAATTTACTATCAATTGGTTTGTGATAGCAATATTTCATTCCGTTCCAGATACGCGGTCAAAATTATGGCTGTGATTGTTCAGTACTCGAGCGATAGAAACTCTGGTAATGCTTTTGTAGCAATAACACAAAAGAGGGAATCCAATTTGGATGTGAATGTAAACCACAATAACGCAGGCGTATATTGATCGAGCTAGATTGATTGTGGTGTAATTGTGACCGCTTGAGGTGTAGCTTATTAGTCCTAATGCCGTGTCATGTGATGGGCGTAAGCAGGAACTCAAACGTTGCTCGCGCATGATCCATAGTACAGTGATCTTTATAACAACGGCAAAGTTCCGTGGGCTGCTTGTGGGCGCGATACTGCCAGGTTGCCCAGACCAAGGCAGGCGAATTCTTTTGGGGAACTCACAACCGGAGCTTTCGACTGGTCTAAGCCTGACCTGCAATGAAGCCGTGCGGTGCGTAAAATCCGCAGTCCACTGGGGATCGGTGACCAGTTTATTGAAGTATACACCTTTTGGATGGGGTCAAACGTCCAAGATGTCCGATACACCTCGATACCAAATCGAGCTGGTGACCAGTGCCACAACCAGGATGATGGTAACGTGTGTGGTTCTTATGCTTCTTTTTGGTTGACTTTAGGCTAACTCCTCTAGGTGAGCCGCTGTCTACGCCGCATTGCACGAGTCTGGTTGGGACCCCGGACAAACGATGCTGAGGTTAGGTGCAGAGTTGCCCACTGGAGCAAGTGGTCGATCTCAATAGATTACATTGGCTGGGGTGTGTTACGCATGTCAACAAATAGGCTGACACGACGAGAGGTGTTTGACGAGGTAGGCAAGAGTTAGATAAAGGTCAAGGTTGGTCAAGCTAAGACCTGGCATGAGGGTATGAAAACCCTAACCAAGAGTCTGGATCACATAGGTCCCGTTAGGCTCCCTGGATGCTGATCCCGAGATCATGGTAACCGATGGTTAGAGACACTGCATGATATGGCTGTGTCGCAAACAGTGGCGCTTGTACTTCTAATCATTATTCTTACCATCTCAGTCTATATGATTTCTCCATCTTCCGTTTGACTTTACTATCAACACTCCAATCCTAATTCAAATCTTTTATCCGAATGGGTAGCCAAAAAACAGCAACCGAAACCGGCGCATAAAAATGCGTAATTAATGTATGTAAAAACTGAAACTAAAACTAGATAAATTGCCAGTGGTTCACCAACTCGTTTATGGCCCCGGAATGTGGCTTTGCTTCCCCTCACATAGGTGGTAATGTACCTCCACCAAGAGACGATAGTGAGTAGTGCTTCCTCACGGGAGGTCATTTGATGCCCTTGGTCGTATAGGTGCATTTCGTGAGGTTTGAGGGTGGCGTGACTAGCCACAACTCGCGACACTCATTGCCGACTATACTGAGTCTTTCAGAGGCACCAAGTCATGGTGGTATAATTATAATATCCTGGTCGAGGATAGTTGTTTATCATGAACAACGATCAGGGTATAAGTGGATATAACAAAATGGTTCATCTGAAACGAGTCTTCAGACTTACCACACGCACACAGGACAGTTTATAGAACGGTCCAATATTGGATGCGCATTCTCATAGCTGCCATACTGAACAGATGTATTTCGCTCCAAGGGGTCTTGTTCAATTGTGACCGTTGAAAGCAACCGTCAATCGCATCTTTTTTGTAAACTGATCGCAAGTATGAGTAGTATCTCACAAAAGATAGAATTTAAGATGGGTGTGACCGAGACACTTCTCACAACCGTCTCTCCCGCGCCTCAACATGAGTTTGAGCTTTCCCTACTGTATGGCGATCATCCAGACATGGACATCACTATGAAGCTTGAACGGTACGTGGGTCTGGCAGTGTTGATGAGTTCAACGAAACGATTTAAAGCGAGACCCGGATATCTGCAAGCTGTATTTGGACAAGTTGAATCGCAAAGGACTGAGGGCATACGGTAATGTAATACCTTTGCTAAAAAAGCTGAATGAATGAATGAATGGTGGTTGGTGTGATCTGCAGGCCTGATGTAATCGGGTGGTTGCGTGTTTACAAGTTTTGGCATGCGTCACAATAGTATTCGTTCCATTCGCATTTATTAATCCGGCAAATCTGGGATCAATGCAGTCCGTTAAAACTGTATAGTTTCATTTCAAGCCGGTTA